TCTATTTGTAAGCAGTCCAGCTGCAATTGCTTTGGCAATACAAATGTATAATTTTTGTCATGCCAATAATGCACTCTTAAATTGAAATTGAATTGAGCGCGAGAGAGAGCGAGCGAGAGAGCGCGAGAGAGAGAGAGAGAGAGAGAGCGAGCGAGAGAGAGAGAGAGAGAGAGAGCGAGAGCGAGTACACAATAATGATCTTTAAAAAAGCATCATATGACCCCTTTAAACACAATTTTGGTAATACAATAGAATGGATGTTTTCCTAGTTAGTTTGTCAACTTATGTTAAAGTCAGACAGTATGCCACTACACACTTCGCAACCCTTCAGCAATAATCTTTAAAAACCGACAAACTATGTTTGTTAACTATTGCGCACATTGCTAGCACATGAACACACTCACTCTTCTCTAACACGTAGAAGGTTAAATTATGATTGAAAAGAAAAAATGCAAACAATTCATTATTATCACTGGATACAGTCACACAGTATGATCATGAAAATTATGTAATTCAAGAAATGGCTCGATAGGGTAACTTAGACCGTAACATAGTTTTGCAATTTCACCATTTGACTCATAATTTCAATGACAGGCCTTGTCTGGCCAACCACATTTTGTTTTCTTAATCAGGTTAACCTCAAATTTAAATATATATTTCAATTTGGGGTTAACCCGATCAAGAAAACAAAATGTGGTTGGCCAGACAAGGCCTGACATTGAAAATGACAGGTTAATAATGTTGAAGCTGGTGAATTTAAGTCTTAAGTAAATGTATGTAAATTCATAACAGTGTACCCAAAACAATTGACGGGCAGTTATTTGATAATAGGTTATTGTAGATAAAATATTGAGGGGGAAAAAACAAACAAACAAATGAAAGGACACGTATATTATACAATAATGTGTTCAAAATGTCAAAAAGTTATATCAAATACAACAAGCCATTTTTAGTTGCAGGGGGTTGTTTGATCAAATAACATAGTTGATAGAACTTGAGATTATAGAATAAAATTTTAATTCAATAAAACAAAAAAACTATTTTTTTCTGAAGTATGTAGAATTAGAAATAATTTCATATAGATAATGTTGCTTTAATTAATTATTTTGAACTCAAGACCCACTCATAGCAAAAACTGTAATTGAAGGGTTATCAAGGCAATTTCAAGTAAACTGAAACATAAGGTGCACAAAATATTTGTACAAGATTATAATGTGCTTTCCCTTAATGGATAAAATAGGATTTTTCTTTAAAAGTATATATATATTTATCATTAATTGAAATGAAATGTGCTATAAATTGTAGAATAAATTATGTCATATGCACAAAAAGCCCAAAGAATTCTATTCACAGTTACGCAATTTCTTTGGTCATTCAGTTTTGGCTATATGATTAATATTGTGAAATCAGGTATGTCTGGGTTTCAGACATCATCATTATTATTACCTTCTCCTTTCCAGGTGTGTGATGTCAGCTGACGTCCTTCTGAGCGGTGGTGCTCCGATGCGCCGCGGGCCCTACATCAGCATGATCACCAACCGGACCATGAACTTGCTGATCCGTGCTGCCATGCTCTTTATGGTGGGCGTGTTTCTAGCGCTCGTGCTAAACCTGCTACAGGTGCAGCGTAACGTCACTCTCTTCCCTCCAGACGTCATCAGCAGCATTTTCTCCTCCGCCTGGTGGGTTCCTCCCTGCTGTGGAACAGCCGCAGGTACACAAACACACACACGACATATTACGATTGTCTGAACTGCTTCTGTCATAACTGAGGATTCTCACACAAATGAATGCTGTTGTCGTTCTCAAGACCGTATATATACAGTATATGGGGTCTGTGAGATCTGTGATGTCGATTAAATGCCACTCTTCTTTTTTCAGCGCTGATAGGTTTGCTGTATCCCTGTATGGATCGTCGTCTGGGGGAGCCGCATAAGCTCAAGAGAGAGTGGTCTAACGTGATGCGCTGTGTGGCCGTCTTTGTGGGCATAAATCACGCCAGTGCTGTATCCTTCTCCTCGCATTTCTTCTTGTTCTTGACCTTTTCTAACAAAGTCATTCTGTCAAGCTGTTCAGCTGCAATAGATGAACACAGTTTTAGTCTTATTGTTTGTCTTAAAGTCACGCTGTAACAAGATTAATATTTTCTTACATAATGTGACGCACGTCTGAAAAAAAATGTAGGACGGAGACTTGGTACTATTCATCTGAATGCATGCTTGTGATTGATACATTTTTTTTTAACGCATAAGTTTTTGGTTGTCAGCGTTCACAGAACCAGAGATAAACATATTTTGTTCTGCACTGGAAATGACATTGAGCTGATAATAAATGTGGCCGTTTTATAGAGTGCTGCAGTGATGACTTGTTTTTGTAGGTCAACCCATAAAATAGCATCAGCCTTGGTTCCTTCGACAAAAACCGATAGGATTTTTCTGTTGGCTTTTGGATTATTGCAGAAAATAAACTCTGTGACCAACAAATGTTTATCATTTACACATTTTGTTGAAACAAATTGAAACAACTTTTATACATGTTTAATCCTAAATGCAATCACCAGAAGTAAAAAAGATAAATCTAGCTTATAAACAAACAACACCACGGTTTCATGACTTGTCTAATGCCTCACAGTCTCATGTCACCACCATTTCAGCGTCTGACACTTCTTTCAGTCTTTACAAAAATTCTCTGAAAGTGTGAGTTCGAATAGTTTGCAAGAGTGCAATTATAAACAATGAGGTTGTGAAACTGGACTAGTGAGTAGTTTATCTGTTCAGTTTGACAACCACCTTTTGCAAGACGTAAAAGCTTTTTAAAAAAAAAACACAATTTGGAATTACTGATGTGTTTTATGTTGTAGTATAAAAGCTTGTGTGAACATGAACAACAGACCTTATTTCAGGCTTTCAAACAAAAACTTGTTCAAAACCCCATTGAATTCAGGACAATGGAACCGGAAGTGCTAAACTGCTACCTCGTTTCTGGGTTTGGGCCTTCAATAATACATCATCCCTGCAGCACAGTATTCTACAAAAAATGATATTGCTCTTGTAGGACTTGTTATCTTTAACACTGGTGCCAACAGAAGGTGGACTTTGCGAATAATGTGCAGCTGTCATTGACGCTGGCTGCCTTGTCTGTCGGCCTGTGGTGGACGTTCGATCGTTCACGCAGTGGTTTTGGGCTGGGAGTCATCATTGCAATACTTGCCACACTTGCCACCCAGCTGCTGGTTTACAACGGAGTCTTTCAGTGAGTTTCATACACACTCTGTTATAAGTCTGCACAATATAGTCAGTTGGAAGCATCACCGAATGACAAAAGTAGTTTTAAGGCCTGTTCACACCAAGAGCGATAGCTATAAGATCTACTGCTTACACTTGCATCATTAAAAGCCTGTTTTGCTTGGATGGTTTTGTTTGGTACTTCACTATCCATGTGTGAATGTGTGCAGATATACCTCCCCTGACTTCCTGTACATTCGGTCCTGGCTGCCATGTATCTTCTTCGCCGGGGTCATAACAGTGGGGAATATTGGACGACAGCTAGCTCTGGTAAACTTTTGCATAGTTACTCAAACATAATCACACAATTAAGCTCTGTTCCAAACCTCAGTGGACTGAACTGATTTAACACTGATGTCAGAAAGAGTTTTTTTTTTTTTTTTAAGAAATTAATAAATTTATTCAGCAAGGATTCGTTAAAAGTGACAGTAAAGACATTTATGCATGTATTTATTTATTTATATAAATTATGTATTTATAAAAATACATGCTGTTTTTTAAACTTTCTATTCAACAGAGAATCCAGATGTAAAATATATTACAGTTTCTACAAAAATATTAAGGAGCACAACTGTTTTCAAAATTGATAATTGATTAAAAAAAAAAGTGCACTAAATGTGACACTGAAGACTGGAATAATGGCGCTGACAATTCAGCTTTGCATCACAGGAATAAATTGCATTTTAATGTATATTCACATAGAAAACAGTTATTTTAAATTGTAATAATGTTTCACAATATTACTGTTTTTACTATATATATTTTTTTTATCAAATAAATTCAGCCGAATTGTCGTCTTTCAAAAACAAAAAATGTTAATTAAAAAAAAAACAAAAAAAAAACTTTTAAACAGTAGTGCAGGTTATTTTGTTGGCTTGAATTAGATTTCTTTCTTTCTTCCTTTATAAATGAATTTATTTATTAACAAAGCTATATATACAGTGCCTTGCGAAAGTATTCATTACCCCTTAATTTTTTCCATGTTTTGTGTTGCTGCCTTATGTTAAATTGCTTTAAATTACTTTTTTTCCCACATCATTCTACACTCCATACAGCATGATGGCAAAGCAAAAAACAGGTTTTTAACATATTTGCAAATTTATTCCATTGCATAAGTTTTCAACCCTTATCTGGGACAGTTGAAATTTAGCTCAGGAGCATTTATATTGCTTGTAGATGTTACTACACTTAATGTGAAGTTAACCTGTGGCATATTCAATTGAATGGGTATGATTTGAAAAAGCACACACGTCTTAATAAAAGTCTAACAGCTGAAAATACATATCAGAGCAAAACCAAACTCTGAGGTCAAAAGAGCTGCCTGTAGAGCTCAGAAACAGGATGGCATCAAGCCACACGTCTGGGGAAGAGTTCAGAAAAAATTCTGCTGCATTGAAGGTTCACAGAAGCATGTAGCCTTCATTATCCATAATGGAAGATGTTTGAAACAACCAGGACTTTTCTTAGAGCTGACCTCCTGGCCAAACTTAGCAATTGATGGAGAAGAGTGGTCACTCTAGTTGAGCTCCATGATCATATATGCAGATGGGAGAAACCTACAGAAGGACAAACATCGCTGCAACACTCCACCGATCTGGGCTTTATTTCGGAGTGGCCAAACTCAATCTTCTCTTCAGTGAAGACACATGAAAACACACTTAGAATTTGCACAAAAAAAAAAACACCTAAAGGACCCTCAGACTGTGAGAAACAATATTCTCTGGTTTGATGAACCTCAGTTCCAAGCATCATGTTTGATGGAAACCAGGCACTGCTCATCACCTGCAGAGTAGCATCCCAAAAGTAAAGTGTGGCAGTAACGGCTGTTTTTCAGGGGCAGGGACCAAGAGACTCGTCAGAGTAGAAGAAACGCTCAGTGCAGCAAAATATAGAGATAGCCTTAATGAAAACCCAGTCCAGAGCATTCAGAACCTCAGACTGAGCAGAAGGTTCACCTTCCAACAGGACAATGACCCTAAGCACACAGCAAGAGTGGCTTATAGACAACTCTGAATGTCCTTGAGTGGCCCAGCCACAGCCTGAGCTTGAACCCAGTCAAATATTTCTGGAGAAACCTGAAAATGTACGTTTGCCCCATGCAACCTGACAGAGCTTGAGAGGTGAAGAGGTGAGGAGAAGAATGGCAGATAATTGCCAAATACTGATGTGCAAATCTTGTCGCATCATACCCAAAAAGACTGCTTCAGCTAAGTACTGAGTGAATACTTATGCAATGTACTTATTTAAGTTTTTTTATTTGTAATAAATTTGTGAATTTGTGACAGTTCAGTTTTTGCTTTGTCATCATGGTGTATGGAGTGTAGATTGATGTGGAAAAAAAGTAATTTAAAGCAGTTTAACATAAGGCTGCAACATAAAACGTGAAATAAATGATTTTTTTATATATATATATATATATATATACATAGCACATGTTTATTTGCATTTCATCAAATGTTTTACCAGTGTGTAACTCAACTTTGGAAGATCTTAAAATTGTGATGTGTAGTTATGTTGCCTTTCAAAACACTATGTATTGCATTGATTTGTGTTTCTTTATTTGCTGCAGTATGAGTACAGAGTCAGTCAAGAAAAGACCCACCAGGATTAAGGAAGAATCCTCTGCACACATGGGACAATCCAGGATAAAGTAGTGAAGCAGGAGCACCATGACTGACAGAGTGATCCATCATTGAGGAGGAGCTGCTGGACAGTGTTATGATTTATACCTCCAGATCTGTTTCCTGCCTCCTCAGACGCTCAGGTTCTCTAAGTGTGTGTAACAGTAAGATACGATGTTGTTTACACACTCTCATACTGTCTTCGCCAGCGCTGAAATGCTGTAAAGCTGCTGCAAAGTGCCAAACTGACTCTGACTGATCAAACTGCGTGACTGTCCTCACCTCATGACTGGAGGCAAAGCCTGGTGTGTAAAAGATGGGCAATATATTGACTGAATATTTACATGCATTTCATGCACAGACACAAAACTCAAATCGCAAGAAATTTTCTATATGATCTTGATACTGTTGTGGCCTCTATCCTCTGTGACGGGTGGAGGAGAGTCATCTGGACAAAGCACCATCATCGGATCTCATTCATCATACAGAAAAATCACTGGTCATTAGAAGTAAGGAGAGTAATATAGAGTATTATGACAGGGCATCAAATCTGTTACATATCACTTTACTAAAGGGCAGTTCATGTCTGCGGTGTCTCAGATCCACCAGTAGTGGGCGTCAGAGGATAACTGACCCGTCACCCTGTGTTTGTAGATGCAGTGCTAAACACAAAAGACCATATTTTCTAACAGACTAACCAGTGTGCTGTGTTCATTAGTTGGGAGGGGAATTGGTGTTCAGCAAGGTGTTGATTACTGCTTTGATTACAACTTGAATATTTTATTGTAATGCATACCTCATAGCCAGGGCTGCGTTTCCCAAAAGCATCGTAAGCTTAAGTTGATCGTAGCTCCATTGGTTTGAATGGGTCTACGATGTACTTAAGCGTACCATGCTTTTGGGAGAAATGAAGGGAATTGTTTTTTTTTTTAATCTTGGCTCTTTTTATTGGGAGGATATTTTATGAAAAACTGAGTAGAATGCAAAATAAGTGGGATCAATGTGTTTTAAGTGTTACAATGAGACTTGACAACTTAAACAACTGTAGACTTGCAAGAGTAATTGTACAATTTGTACGTGACCATCTGAAAGCGAGCATGTTGGGATGTTTTCTCAGGCATGGGTGATTACTTGATCCACGGTTTGTATTTAACCACATTTACTGTTTTTTGAAGTTGAAGTTACATGTTTGTTATTATTACATCTGCATTATTAAAAGAGACTTTCTTTGAGTTCATTTTCTTTGGATTACTATTATAACTATATACTATTATTTATATATTTTTTTAGGCTTTTGTACATTCATAGAAAGTTATTTTTAAATTCATTCAGTTAGTAAACAAACAAAAAATGTATACTTTAATGCAATTAATTCATATACAATGTATAATCAGTGCTTGATACTCATTCATTACATTACACATTTTAGGTAATGTAATCAGACTACTTTTAGACTACTTTTGACCTAACTCATTTATTACATTGATTTTAACAGCTAAGTTTATGCAACTTGGCCCTAGTTGTTTCAGTGAGTTTTGTATAGTATTTTCTTTACTGTTTACTTTGAAAACTATGTCTAAAAATGGTAATATTTTATGTATTTGAGGTCTGAGCTGTGGGAACGGTGAAGAGAGAGAGGGCAAACACTTTGCATTTAAATCAGCCAATACTGTCTTAAATAGCCTGCATAGCACTTCATCTTTTATAACATGGGAGTTTGACCAAATATATTCAGTGTTGATTTTTTGTAAAATGTTGCAACAAGATGTTAAAAAATGAAAAGCAAGATGAAGAGCATTAAACATTACAATATGTAAAGGTTTTCTAAACTAAGGTTTGTAAAGGGACTGTAGGGGGTTCCTACATTTAATAAGTAAATAAATCATAAAAATGTAAAACAAAAAAAAAATCATTTTAAAATAATCAAAGCACTTACTAAAAAAGATGAAATATGTGTTTACCTGCATGTCATGTGACCATTAACCAATGTCAGAAACGTGAACATGCAAATGTGTTACTTCATTACTAACTTATTACCTTAAAATCTCAAGAGCACTTCAAGTAAATATATTAGGTAAAAAGGTTGGGAATGCCTGCATTACATGTAAATAAGAAATAACATGAATGTACCCATTTAATGCATTCCAAAGACAGTAATACATGGTTAAATATTAGTCACTGATAAAATGAGTGTGTTCATCAGTAGTTTATGCAATGTTAAAATATTGAGAAAAAAATATTTTGTAAATCAAGTGGTCAAATGCTATGTAATTATATAGCCACCTGACTGAATGTCCACAAAACTGGTAGACTTTCTGAATGTATAAGCAGAGGGCTATTTCAGAAAGGAAAAAATCAAAAGAGGAATTAGGGAAAATCAATAAATTATTAATCGTCAGCTATTGTGTGAATATGTAATCATGTATTCCATAAAAAAATAACTGTAATCTTATTACAAGTACTTAATTTTTGGAATCTGATTAAGTAATCCAGATTACACTACGCTGCACTGAATTATATGACAAATTTCAGATTTTATACATGCACTATGCTTTTGTTGCCATACACTTTAGTCAGGGTAGCTTTATTTTTAATTTCGAAACACCAGATTGCACGGATCACTATTTGAAATATCTGAATTTTACAAGTTTAAATACTCTTTAAGATATTTTGGGATAATGTGATTTTTAAAAAACTTTATCCAGGATGGGCCAAGCCCATGATCTAACAGTACCTGTCTTGCCAAATATTATTATTACACAAAAGAGAGCACAAAAGAAGGATTTGCACTGCATAAATAATTATATTGGCCTCAGAGAGCAGATTTTTGTGACATAAAAGTGCAAACTAATAACAGTTTTGATTAAGGAATGGTAATTGTTGGGTTCTTTGTCAGTTGTGCTCAATGCCTGCTGTGCCAGACATGTTTGGCATTGAGGATGTTTTTTTCTGTTTGTTGGTTTCAGTTGAAAACTGCTGATGTCCAAATGATTTATGGGGGGTTTGAGAATGTGTTAAACAGAGCTCAGTGTACTATGCTTTTATTGATGATTAATGGTTTTCTCCCACAACAGTGAAACCTGAAATTACCAATATTGTGGAGAGCATCTAATGGTCTCCATAAGGAAAATGGCTTAGAAACATACTAAAATCTGTATTTTAGACATGTTTATAGGGTGTTAGGGGATAGAGAATATCATTGACTGAAGGCAATGGAAAGCCCTCCACATGACAGAAAAATAAGTGCATGTGTGTGTGTGTGTGTTTGTGTGTGTCTGTGTGTGTGTGGTCCCATGTAACTGCTCAAAGCCTGAACAACCAATCATCACTAACTCTCCAAGGACAGTTCTGGCAAAAATATGACTTGTGTCTCATACACACAAACACACACACACACACACACACACACACACACACTGCCTCATTCTGTAAAGGTTAATGCAGAAGATCTGCTTCGTGCACTAGTTAATCCATTCTGCTCAGTTCCAGAGAGTGTGAAGGAAGTGTGAAGCAGCGCTTTTAGCCTGATCTCACACAGCTGCTTGCCATTTATCTCTCCTCTTGACTTCTGAATTCTGATTCCTTCAGCCTAGATTTTCATTTGATGTTTTCACCAGTTTGAAGAATGTATCAAACTGAATGATGAATGGAAGGATTGTTTTCTGTTACAAGAAGGCATTCGCCATATGTTTGGAAATCTGTACATGACTTTTTTATAAATGCTTTGAGATATTTTGGCTAAAATGATGAGCGTGCTATCATATAGTGGAGACCGGGGATATTCGGACAAAGTTTTATCTCACTGTGGGATGAATTTTAAATGTATATTTCTGTAGAAACACAAAACTTAAAGGGATAGTTCACCCAAAAATGAAAATTCATGTCATTTACTCAAAATGACATTCAAAAAATGTTGAATGTATACAACACTGCTCTTGATCTCCAGACATCAGGTCTGCGCTCCTCTACAGTATCTGAGCACTAAAGGCTGTTTAGACACATCACTCATTTGTACAGCAGGATTGTTTTCCTCTCGGGTGCGCATCTGATGGTTACTTCTGACTCCTGACCGTGAAAGTGTGCTGTTAAATGAACACTGTAGAGAGCAGCAGGTGCATGGAGATTGACAGGAGGCCTTGTTCTCCTCGCCACGCGACTGATCACAGAGGGGGGCGAATCTGAGGAGTTAGGTGAAGATCTCTGACACAGTCCTGCGCTGGAGACAGTATGTATTTCTAACGGGCTACAGGGGCTCTGAAGTGGAAACTAGCAGACATGAACGACACATGCTCATTATGAAGGATCTGAACAGCCATGCCAAGTTCAGAATCAGAAAACGTGACAGTCAGCCAGGACAGATAATGCATCATGATATATTAGATGAATCACTCTACCCTTGTGAAAATGAAGTGCACTTTAGCATACTTTTTTATATATTCAAAAAGTATTTCTAACATAAATAATATGCTTTAAAAGAACATTTTAAAATGTATTATAATTTAAATTGATTTTAAATGCCATTAGTTGAACATTAGAGTGCTTTTTGACCCTCTTAAGCAAAAACTTAAGTACATCTTTATATTTAATTCCATAATTTCTTCTATCGTCATATGAAATATGAAATAAAGCAATGGTGAATGACAAGCATTTATGGCAAACTAAAATATATTTTATTTGACGCTTCTATTGAAACTTGTATGTCAAGTTGCAATTTAGTACATGTAAGTACACTTAAGTTTCCTTTCATTTCATTAACATTATATATTGCCTCCAAGTACATTTTTTAATATATTTTTCATATTTGAAGTATATTACAAGTGCACATTCAGTACAATTAAGCACACTTATTTTAAACATTGGTAATGTTATAGAAGTGAAACAGTTTTAAGAAAATTTATTAGACATATTTATAAAAATGCATGCATATTACTATAGCATATTGGCAAATAGCATACATATTAATAGCATATTGGCTGTTTAATAGTACTTATAAGTACTAAAACAGCTTATAAGTACTAATCTTATAAGTATTTATAAGATTAGTACTTATATAAAAAAAAAAAAAACATTTTAATGCCTTCTTCTGCATCACCATACATACTTATGATCCCTTAATCCGACCCAATACCTAAACTTAACAACACCTCACTAAATATTAATACGCAGGAAAAAGTCGTAGCTAAGTTCTGAGAATTGGACCTTTATTATTATTATTATCATCATCATCATCATGAAGATATAAGGAAGATTATTAACACAAACAGATGACAAGACAGCACCACAGACTGAGGCACACTTCATTAACACTAGAGAGCGCCGATCGACAAGAATTGACAATCAAACTTATTTAATTTAAACATGTGCTATTTGTCTTTTGCACACACACACACACACACACACACACACACACACACACACACGCGCGCACACACGCGCACACACACGTCACATATTGGATTTCATGGCAATGTGCTTATGAAATGGCATCAGGTCAAAGGTGAGCTCTGTATCTGATTTGCTCCAGATGCAGTCAGAATGCATTTTACTGAAAGAGTTCGAAACAAAGCAGCAGCTCCTGAATTCACACACACATGAACACATGATCACACTTCATCTTTGTGTCCTCATTTGAGCCTGCTTTGTTCAAGTTTAAAGCAAAGACTGAAATCCAACCACAAATTATACGTCATCTTTTGGGCTTTATTGCTTCTCTGGATGCTCCACCTGTGACATGCACAGACAGAAACACACCACACTGAACATTCGCTCTGGGCAGTGCAAATAAATTCATGAAAATTTCCTGACTCTGAGCCATCCCAAAACATTTTGAATGTAACACAAAACATTTTCGAAAGTGAAACATCAGTTTTGTAATTATAATGTGTGACTTGTATTTATAATGTGCAGATTTAAGTGCACACGCGTGAGCACAGAGGATTGTGGGTGCTGTGTAAACGTCGGACCGGATGAGGGCGGGACTGCAGGTGTAACTGTGCCTGTGGTGAATATGTCATCACTGCTGCACTATTTCCTCTCGCACAAATATGCGTCTGTGATGGTGTCAACGTGAATGTGAGTTTAGCTCACTCAAAATAATAAACGCACTTAAAAAAAATTTATATTTTCCTCGAACCTGTATATCTCATCCCTGCATTAATGGCATTACATGACAACCTGGCCACCAGTATCTAGTATTTGGCACAGAAATGTGTGGA